GCTGGGGCAATTTTGAGGCAACCCACTGGCCCAGTAGGAGAATCAGCATCTTTCCAGCATCCTGGTGTAACCAGAGACGGAGCCTGGGTCCCACCGGAGGCAGAGGGGCTCTGGAAAGCGAGGGAGGTGGGGATGGCAGAGCCTGCTACTGAATGCAAGCTACCTCTTAATGTGGGACAAAGGGGGCCTGGGAGGAGGCAGCACCTGTGGGTTACTAAGCCGCACCTGCAGGCCCAGGAGTGTCCCCCTCAAGCCCAGCCCCCAGGGCCCACTCTCCCAGGCTTCAGAACCTGCTTCTTTCTTTAAAAGGGACAGGCTGTTAATTCGAGCACCCTGTGTGCAGCCAGGGACCAGAGCCCCAAGATGTTTCTCTAAGCTGTGTGTGTGTGTGTGTGTGTGTGTGTCTTTCCGGGTTCCCCTTCTGGTTCAGCTCCATTGCACGAGTCTTATGAAGCCTAAAACCCTTATTTCTGTCTCCTCTCTCCCTGCTGAGCCGAGAGAGGATGAGATCAGTGCTAGAAGGGTCCCAAGTACAGGGTGGGGAAGGCTTTGGCCGTTGAAGTCGCCTTCCTTCCCTGGAGCCTGCAGGCTTCCCAGGGAGGCAGTGCAGGGAGAGGAGGGCTCGGGGGACAGGAAGTGAGGTGCTGTCTAGAGAGGAAGTGAGAGGCAAACAGCCCCCAACTTCCCCGGTCGAGCCTGAGGCCATTCCTACGCAGCTCAGAGTAGAACTGTCCCCTAGGGTTTCCAAGACTGTGACTACACAAGCACACCAGCCACATCTCTCTTTTGGAGGGGATGGTGGGTTCAAACCACCGACCTTTTGGATGCAGTGAAGCCCTTAACTACTTCGCCACGGGGCTCACTGCCTGAAGGCGGGGAGCTGGGGAGATACAATGTGATGGGGCGAGGGTGGCACAAAAGGGGGTCTCTAGTCTTGGACACAACCAGGCTCGAGGGACCCAGAATGTCCCAATGGAACAGGGAAGGGGGAGGCTAAGGTGAGCACTCAGCTTTCCAGGTCACAAGGTGTATCTGCAGCCCTGGCCAAGGCTTCCACTCCCCAGCACCAGGCCACGAGCCTCCCGCACCAGACACATGCGCACACACGTGCACATCACAGGGCAGGTCCTCGGATCACTTGCCCTTACCGCAGGTGTTCTTTCTCTGCAGCCCTTACTAATTTCCTGACTACGGGGCATCACGCTACACTTGCAGGCCCCAGAGAGTTGAATACATATCCTCCCAGCCCCCGTGCCAAGATCACCACTGTATTGCTGAGTCTAGCACGGTGCCTGGTATTTAGTAAGCCCTATGATACTTGTTGGCTGAATGAATGGGCTGGTGGACTGGTTGAGGCTTGAAAAAGTCTCTCTCTCTCTCTCTCACACTCACACACACACACACACACCTAGCTATTGTCAACAGGGCACAGGAGCAGATGGCATCCAGTTGGGAAAAGGGGAAAATAATAGGCATTTGTATTCTGCTTGTCCACGGGAAAGAACCTCGGGAAGGATGTCTCAGAAACTACTACATGACTGAGGAGGGAGCAGGGAATGGGAAGGGGAGTGGGATTTCTTCACGTATGCCTTTGTATCTCAGGTTTTACTTCGGAACCGTATGAAAACATTTGCTAGTGGAAAGCTATAGAAAAGATCAACTTGATGAGATCTAAAGCCCCTGCGAGCACGGCCGGCCCCAGTTCTACACCTCTCTCGCTTCTGCAGTAGGGAGGAAAGGGCCAGGCTCCGGGACACAGGCACGGGGACGAGTTCTGGCCAGGTAACTGTGGAGATGCTGACCAAGGCACGCCAGGGCTGACGCTCCCTTCCTTCCCCAGAAACCTCTCTCTGGCAGGAAGAGAGGCTCTCCTGGCCCACGCTGTGGGGATGGGCACCTCAAACAACTCATAAGTGGTCAGGGCCCTTCCTCCTGAGTAAGAGCTAGGTTCCTCCTGGCTCCCTGGGAAGGTGGCTAAGGGCAGGCCACAGGCAGAAGCAGGGGCAGGAGGTTGGGCAAGGGGAGAGTTTAGGGCAGGTGTGGGTAGGATGGGGCACATGGCTACGGAAGGCACTGGGGTTGCTTTGGACAGGTTCTGGGGGGGCATCTCAACAGATCCTCCCACAAAAGGGCCCACTGCAACCCCCCACAGCAAGCCAGCTGGAGTTGAGGTCAATCAGCCCCTGGGAACTGCAGGTGCTACAGACCCCTCCCTCACTGATCCTTCCCAAGAAAAGCCTCGTCATCCCCGCCTCCCCCCTCACCTAGCAGTACGAATAAAGACCACGGTTAACTCCAGGCTGAAGGGCCCGAGGGTGAGACCTGCGGACCAGGGTCCCAAGCAGCACCCACCACTCCAGCCTCGAGGCAGCCACTGCAGCAGTGGAGTGTGGGGTGGGGTGTTCTCTCTTTTCTAAATACCTTTTATGGATTTTTAAGATTCACTGAGCGCTGCAGACCTCCCAGTGCTCCAGGACCAACCTCGGTTCGGGGGACAGCGCCTGATGGGGCCATTCTCAGTGACTGCTGGGTTTTTAGAAATCAGTAATAACAGCACTGATAATTCGTCTTAATAACAGTCTGGCACTCTCGGGCCGCTTTCATCTGCATAACACCCAGAGCTGGGAAAATGGTAATTATCAAGCAGGTGCCACGCCCCGATGGTGGGGTGTTATTAATCTATCAGCACAGGCTCGGAAACTTGAGGCCAGGGGAGGCTTCCCCTCACACCCGCTAAGACTGCAGGTGCCAAAAGCCGGGGAAGATACTGAAGACAGAGCCACTCCCTTCAGGTTTAACCAGAAAGACCCCCGGTGCTGCCCAAGGCCCCTCCCCAGGCTGTAGCCCTGCACCCTGACCCCCGAGCACTGCAAACCAGGTCGCCAGCTCCTCTGGGCCGCTTGGCCACCCCTCCCCAGGGCTCCAACATCCGGGCTAAGTGAGGGCTCAGCTGCCCCTGCCTCATGCTGCAGGGATAGTCCATGAAGTGGGCTCAGGGGATGGAGCGGATCAAGAAGTGGGGGTCCAAGAGCATCGCCGCAGTCCTCTTTGCTCCCCAAGTTTGACTATCTCCCCTAGAGCCAGGCTTGGCTGACCTATGCCTTCCCCCAAGAGGGCAGTGGAAGGTGAGGAGTCACAGGAGACTGGGCCATTCCCACCATGGCCATGGAAGGGGATAGCAGAGACACAGACTACATCTGACGGGAGGAGGAGACAGAGGTTTGCACCTCCAATCCACCTAGAGCTGACTGTGCGCCTGGCATCACCAGAAATGCTGGGAGCAGACAAAAGCCTGGCTCTGGAGAAATGATAAGGGTGAAGCCAGGCAGCGAGCCATGCCCTTGTCCTCCACCCCTCCTGGCAGCTTTGGGGGAGAATGTCCTGGGTCTTGCTCTGAGGGATGATTTTCCTCAGCATGTGAAAGAGTGGAGTAGCGCCCGGGGTGGGGGTGGGGGTGGGGGGGTTCCGCCACAGGCCCAGCTCTCAGCAATGTCAGGGGCAGAATGGCCCTCTGTGTCACATGTGTCCCAGAAAGGAAGGCCACACGACTCCATAGAGCACACTAGCCTGGAGTGGGGGTGGGGGTGGGGGCCTCTGACACTCACCTCCGTATGAATCACTCCTCCCCTGGACTTCACTTTCCCCATTTTCAACACCAGGGCGTTGGACTAGACAGGCTCCAGGATTCCTTCCAGCCTGTGACCCTGCGTTGTTTTGATGTGGTGGCGGATCCCAGATAGACTTACATAAATTTGCATGTTCAATCAGAAACTCCCAACCTCCAAGTCTAGAAAATCCAATCAGTTTATTGGTGTCACCAGCCTGGCTCAGGGAGAGCCTGCCGGGTTTGGGTGAGGGTGTGGTGACCCAAGGAAGGGCCTGGGTGGGCAGCAAGAGCGGGAAGGGGCCTTTGTTCTAGAGCTACAGTTTCTAGGGACCCAATGGGGCCATCAAGCCAGGGTCCTGTCCCCTTTTGCTTCTATTGGGGCCTCCATCTGGGCAGCCTCGAAGCCACACCCTGCAGGGCACAGCATTCTGCCTGGCAACAGCTGCATCCTCCCCGCCACCGACAGTGACTTCACTACCAGCCACTTCCAGGGAATCTGACTTCTCCCAGGGAGCGCCCATTAGCCACGGAGAAGGCTTATTACATAGAGCTTTACCTCCCACAGGTCGTAGGGCCCAGGACAAGGGAGGCCGGCTCCCCAGGCATGGATCAGCCAGCAGAGGATAGAGCCTTGCAGGAGACTGGCCCTATGTCTATGCCAAGCCCAGGCCTCCCTCACCCCCACCTGGCCTGCAACATTCCCCTGGGCACCTGGGAGACCAGGATGAAAACAAACGTGAAGCACGTGAAGAAGGCCTTTGGCTCTTGGGCTGGAGAGCAAGTCCCAACCTGGAGAGCCTGACTCCTGAGAAAGCTACCTCTGGGAGGGATGGTGCTTGGGCAAAGGTGGGCTGGCGGTCTCGCCTGCTGCTGTTGGGTTGGCATGGATGGGCCGGGTGAGGGCATCAGGCATGACACCCCCCCCCCCCTCCAAGCCTCTCACCAGGGAGCTGGCTGTGGAGGTGAGGGGTGAGGTGAGCGGGGCGAGAGGGGTAATGGGCCAGTGCGGTGGGGCCCTCCTTGCCCTCTTCTCATAAGAGGGCGGATGAGTGTGCTATGCTCTCTGGCCCAGATCCTAAAACAAGTCCCAACAGCTGAGAGTAAACTGGCTCCTGGGAATCTGCTTACCCTGCTGGCCCTTGGCTGCCTCCTCCTCTCCCAACCCCTCCCCGAAGGCCCAGCTCAAAGACTGGCCCCGCCAGGATGTCTCACCAGAAGCCTTAATGGGTGGGCCAAACCCAAGCCAGCACGAGTTCATACCCCAAGGCACCAGGGATGCACAGACAGTGCTGTTCTAAGCAGGATGAGGGCGTCTGCTCTGCTCCGCCCACCGTTCTCATGCTAAGCAAATACACTTTAGAACTTCACGGCCGACATCTTTCATGTTCCACACCTGGGCCATCAGCTTCCAGCCCCAGCCAAGGGATCTCTTCCCTCCGGAGTCAATCATCAGTGGAACCACACAATGCCAAGATGCAGAAGGCAATGTAAGAGCCTTCTTCTAGTCCAACTCTTGAGTTTTACAGAGCTCTGAGGCCAATCAGCTCTCTCTGCTCCCTCCGGGCTTGAAGAAGAAGGGGGAGCTGGGACCCCAGGTGACTGACGAGGCTGAGGGGGTAGTGGCCATTCAGATGTCATCAGTTGGGTTCAATGAGCCACGGTCCCCAGGTTACCCAGGGACTCCTGAGCACACTTGCCCTCTTTCATGTCCCTCTGCGCTACTAGGCTCTTTTGTTTACTCTTACAGACCAGGAAAGCCCAACTATCTTGGGCAAAGCATTCATTCAGCCAGTTACGAAAGTCCTCACAACACAGGGTTTTGCCAGCCGGTGGTAGAAGAGCCTTCTTCCTCGAGGTCCTGGTTTCTGCTCGCAGGAGGCCTGAGCTGGAGAGGCTGGAGGGCCGCAGTAACCTTTGAAAACCACATTCAGCTTTGTGGGGAGCTCTCTCCATATAGGAACGTGTGTGGATTTCTCTGGGGTGGGATACCCACTGACCCCGGTTGTTTTTAAGAAGAAAGGTTCGATTTCAGAAGGGAATTTTGCTTTCGCCCTTCCTGGCAGACTAAGGGTCTCAGGGAGCCAGCTGGCATAATCTTTGCCCAAGAGGGCCAGTTGCCGGATTCATTTTCCCCAAAGTACTGACCGAAGAATGGCTAGGCCTTGAACTGCTCTTTACTGTCCCCAGGACCGCCCTTGTCCTAGGCTTCTGCCTTCAGTCACTTCCTCAGGCTGACAATGGTCCTTATGGGGCAGGGGAGAAGGGATAGGAAGGGGAAAGCCCAAGACCCTGGGCTCCTAAGGCAGGTAGGGGCTAAAGAAGCCGCCTCTGGACAGGCTGATGGACCCTGGGCTCTGACACCAGGAAGGTCAAGTCTGTAGGGTATGTGAGCCCGCTATGCCCTTGGGGCAATGCCTGGGCTGGAAAAACCGCGGGGCCTTGGGCCTAGGATAAAGAGAGGAGATAGGATCCGGGAGCCGCTCTCTGGGCCGCGCCAGGCCAGAGGAGTGTCGGGCACTGATGAATTCTCTGCATTCTTCAGGCACCGCAGCCAGAAGCCGAAGAGCCTTTACTGCAGGAGCTGCCCTGGCTCCACTCCCTGCCCAACCCCTCTCCCTCCTTCCCGCAGCCCCTCCAAGCCTAGTAGTTCCTGGAGACCCTGGTCTCTCCCCGCCTCCCCCACACCCTACCTTCCCAGGATACTGGGACTGAAGGGAGTACGAAGGGGAGCCCCAGATCGCCTCCGCGCCTGCGCTTTGGGGAGAGCCACCCCGTTCCCCCACCCCACCGCCCGCGCGCCCCGCCCCGGCACCGCTAAGCTGGGCTTCCAGACAGAGGGATGCGGATGGGGTGGGGTGCTCAGCCGGGGCAAGGTCAGTGCTTTAAGAAAGAGGGAGATCGGCCCCCGGAACATCCCCTTCTCCCTAAAGTTTCCCTTCCGGGGCCACGGAGTGTGCGCGAGGATGGCGCGGGGGGCGGGAATGGGTAGGGTGGGTGGGGGTGGACAGAGTCGCAGTCGGGCCCCCAGGGGAGAGTGCGGCGGGAGGGAGGGGCAGGCAGCGAGGTCCGGGCTGGAAGCCGCGCCGCCGCCTTCGGCCCAAAGCTGCCACGAGAGCCTTACCCCTCGGGCTGCCCCCCCGCCCCCGACCTAGCAGAGACCACCAGCCCCCCCCCCCAACACACACACACACACGCCGCCCTTCACATTCCAAGTAGGCCCTGAACTCACCGAAATCAGGTGTTCAGATGGGCCAAAGCAGGCCAGATCCACCGGGTCCATGGCCGCGGATCGGGGGCGGGGGGCAGAGAAAAGGGGTGGGGGGTGCTGGGGCCGCCTCTTGATGTCAAGGCTTTAAAGGGGCCAGTGAGCCCCGCCCCTCACCTAGGCTCCGCCTCCCTCTTCCCGCGCAGCCAATCCACGCTCACCTTGGATACGCGCCCCTCCCAGCCCCCTCCAGATGTTCCCAGGACGAGAGCAAAGTCTGCCCGGTCGGCGCGCGCTGCTTCCGCCCTGGAGGGCGAGCTTCCCCTCCCTTTCCCCGCGCCCCAGCGCAAATGCTCTTGCCAGGGCCGCCTGAGTTGGGCGAACCTCCCTGGTGGCGGGCTAGGGGCTCCAGGCTGGACCGGCCTGGGAGGCATCGTTTTGGACGGAGAAAACGAAGTACCTGTGCGCGCGGGCCTACGGGCAGGCGCGTCGGCTTCTGGGGCTGCTGGCCGTGCACGTGTATCTGTGGATGTGAGCGTCACTGTAATTCGCCATCCTGTGTACCTGTTAGGTGTAAATCCTTGAGAAACGGCTTGAGTGCCTCCTTAGCCTTAAATGCTTTCGCCTCCCCTTTCCCCACTTCGGCATCAGGTCTTCCCAGTTACCAGGAAAACTGGTCACCAGCACAGGCTCCGCATTCCTGAGCAGAGCTGGCCGTGCCTCGCTGATTTTGGAGGGAAGGTTGTGCAGATACAGCCTTATTCTCAGTCACTTGCAATCTCAGTGAGGGCAAGTTAACGAGGGTCAACCAAACAGCCCACTCGGGCCCCCTGCAGAGCCTCAGGATTCCTTTCAATAGCAGTCTCATTGCACCTGCTTAAATATCTGTTTGCCCTTGTCTGGCCACCTTCTGAGCCTCACAACCTGCATTGTTCTGAATGCCTGGAAATTGCTCAGGTTCTGAGCAATGCAAAGGAATCCCTCGGCACCGTCCTTGCCTGCTTTATTAATATTGGTTTTTGTTGCGGGCATAAACAGGATTGTGATTTAGAGCAACATCTGAGCCCAAGAAAGGCACATAACAGCTGAGGGAATGGGGAGGTGCTCTGATTGGCTAGGATTAACCAAGGGCTCATCTCTGAAGGAGGCTTCTTAAAATGTGATTTGAAGGGCAGAGAGAAACTTGAGTAGGATCCAGGCAGGCTAAGAACACAAGGACAGTCGGCCAGGAAAGAGCCAATCATCTATATGCAACAGTGAGCAAATCACCTTGGGAGAGTGGAAGAAGTTAAAAAGGAGGGTTTGTACAGAAATCAGAGTGAGGATAAGCATTTGACCAGGGAGGTGATACTCAAAGATGTCCTTTGGCATCTTGGGCATAGGGGTGGTGGTGGTGTTAGGTGCGGTCAAGGAGGTTCCTACTCAGCGACCTGGTGTACAACAGTGAAACACCCACTGCCCGGTCCTGCACCTTCCTCACAATGGTCCTCCTGTTGGAGCCCATTGTTACAGCCATGGTGTCAGTCCTCTCCTTGAGGGTCTTCTTCCTGTTCACTGACCTTCTATTTGACCCAGCACAGGACACAGCCCACTTCTCCCACCTTTTAGTTTTAGAGAAAAAAACCACATTTTTGATAGATTTATCCTTAACATACAATAAGAATGCAACAGACCTTAAAGTGTTTTTTTCTGTTTGAATTCCAACAATAATATACACTTAAACAACCAACACTCCAAATTCAAACTCTTAAACTCGCTGCCATCGAGTTGGTGCCGACTCCGTGACCCTATCGGACAGGATAGAATTGCACCTGTGGGTTTCTGAGACTAACTCTCAATGGGAGTAGAAAACTGCAGGCTTTCTCCCTTGGAGAGGCTGCTGGTTTTGAACTGCTGACCTGGTGGACTGCAGCCCAGTGTGTAACCACTACATCACCAGGGCTCCTGTTAAACCCAAAACAAGGTCCAAAAGTTTCCAGAAAGAAAGATACACCTCTAGAAAGTCTCTCATGCCCCCTTAGAGTCCGATCCCATGCACCCACCAGTGCTTTCTCGCAGAAACTTTCTGCATTGTTTGGCCTGTTCTTGGATTTCACATAAGCGGGTCATAGCGTCTGCAGTTTTTTGTTTTAAATCTGGCTTATTTAGCTTAATAATGTTTGAGATCCATCTATGTAGATCAGTAGTTCCTTTTTTATTGCTGAGTAAGATTTCAGTATGTGAATAAGGGCGATGGAAGAATTGGCGCATTTGAATTGTGCTGGCGAGGAATATTGAATGTACCATGGATTGCCAAAAGGACATACCAGTCTGTCTTGGAAGAAGTGTGGCCAGAGAGCTCCTTAGAGGCAAGGACGGCGAGAGTCTGTCTTACACACTTTGGATGTGTTGTCAGGAGAGACTGACCGGTCCCTGGAGAAGGACATCAGGCTTAGGCAGCAAGAAAGAGAACAGTCCTTCAAGAGCTGGGTGGCCCCTTGGCTACAGCAGTGGACCCCGACACAGGAACCATGGTGAGGGTGGCGCATGCGTAGGTGGTGTTTCCTCTGTTGTGCAGAGGGTCGTTCTGGACCAGACTGACTCAGTGGCACCTAGCCCTACCACCAATGTGAGCACATCACAATTCTTTATCCACTTTCCGTTGATGGATATTTAAATCTTTCATGTTTGGGCTACTGTATGTCGGGCTGTTTTAGCAAGTCTTCCTGTAAACATGTTTTCACTTCCTGTTCCTCATCTTCCTTGATAGGAGATCTTTGGAACCACGAAGTATTTTTTAGTTTTTATTCATTCAAGCAGCCATATGTATAGGACGAGGGGGGCAGTCCTCAGATTACAACAAAAACTGGTCATGTTGCCTCCTCAAAGTGCTTAAGAGTCCTGTAAAACTCCCTCTGCCTGTTGCCTTTTGAAGTCCTCCGTTTCAATGTTTTACTTGTCACCCAGAGGCTTACCCATTTAGTAAACACGGCTGGGACTCCTGCACGTCTCAACGCAAACCGCAAACTTCTGAAGGCTCTTGCCCCCGTCACAGTTCAGGCATTCAGGTTTGGTCAGTTTCTTCGTGAGCTCCAGACCTCCATCCTCTCGGACAGGAGGCGAAGGCAGCGTGACTACCATTGCTCTGTGGGATCCCACTTACGGTACATTTTTTAACATGGTACCGAAGTACAGATTGGGAACATACATTTAACACAGGTGGTTCTCTACCTGTGTTAAAGGTATGTTAACAATCAGACATTGTTCTTTACTTGAGTTGCCCATGTTACAAAACAAAGGAGGCCACGTAAGTCTCTGGTTGCTGCAAACTGTTGGTAACAAACCAGTCTGGTGGCCTGATCTAACCGAGCAGCTAGTGCTGGTGACAGACGGGTGGAAGTCGTCACAGGGAACCACCCCCTCACGGCTCCCAGCGGTGCTTTGAATGGGGCTCTGTGATTCAAGACTATGTGAGCGTTCATTCAGTGTTAGGGAATCTTTGACCCCCGAGCTTGTCATTCTAGTCATTTCGCCATCCGGGGCCTTGGTTGAGAGGTGGCCCCACTTGAGAACTCCTGACGTTAGATGCTCGGGGTGGTAACTGACTGCCCCAAACATTTTAACCGGCTTATTCTCCTGGGTAACTTGGCTCTGAGTGCATTCTCGATAGCTTTCCTGTTCAGTGAGAGAAAGGAAGGGGCTTGGGGCACTTTGTTTGGTTCCCATGCTGCTCAGACAGCCGACCTGGTTAGCAGCCTTGCACTCTAACCACTGTGCCACTAGGAAGGGCACCACAGACGTTTGCTTGTTGTTAGGCGTCATCACATAATTTCCAATTCCAATTCAGTGACGCTACGGACAACAGAAGCACCCCCTGGTCGTGTGCCGGCCTCACGATCGTTACCTTTGTTTAATCATGCACCAGACAACCTCGCTCCCTGGGTT